GTTTAATTCTTTTGTTTTGACAAAACACTGCCCCGGGTGGGAAATTCGGTCTGAAACCACCGCTCCTCCCACAGCCCGCAGCATGATGCTGCCACCGCCGTATGTCACTTGGTTTTAATTCAATGAATTCATTTTATCTCTTACTTGACAAACATCCAATAGAATTAAATGAGCAGGATCCAAGGGAAACATCTTCCAACAGTTTGGGAATATTTTAGTGTTAATCTGAGTATTTTCCATTAAAATTTAATAAAATGTCCAAAGTTTATATCATTAAAGGGGTTCCTGTTAAAAGGGAATTTTTCTCTCCACTGTTGCTACAAGCATGCTTAGTGTGGGGATTGCATTCTAGTCAATGAGTCGATGCAATCAACTGGTTTTCCTTAGATAGAAAACTTTGAATTAATTTGACTTTATAATCTGGTGAACTGTAAAGTGCCTTGAGATGACATGTGTTGTGAATTGGTTCTATATAAATTAACTGAATTGAATTAAATTAAATAGAGTTTGTTGTATAGATCAAGGTTTTTCCCTCCAGTTGATTAGAAATGAGCAGCGGCGTCCGTCTTTTGGCCTGGCGTTTTTTTTCCCACCATCCGGAGGAGGTCCTGTGGCATCTTTTGGCACACTGCCTCCATCTGCTTCCTCCATTTTTGCAGTTTCACAACCATCACATGATTTGTAACCTCAACTCCTTTTTTTTATGCGCCTCCTTTTGATGTGCCTCCCCTTTGAATTTTGCAACACGGGCAAGTTCCCTTGGATACAGGTCATGCTGTCGTGCTGCTTGTGACTCACGCAACCTGTAATACAACAGCCAGCGTTTATCTGCAGCCTCCTCTCCTGGTATTCGAATCAGATAAGTACAAGACAGCACAGGTTGGAGGAGAAGCTGGGGCTATTGTCGTCACCTCTGGAATCGTGGGTGGAGTGTCTTCAGCCCATTTCCTCTTCCTACGGCCATATTTATTTTGTTAACCCATGCTTTTTTACCAACCAACCAAAGAGGCGACTTGGATTTGGTGCCACAAAAACAACTGCATCCTTCCTGCACAAGAGTTGACTCAGCGGACTGGGAGGAGGGTGGAGCTTCTGTGTGTGTGTGTGATTGTTGGGGGGGAAGCAGAGGAGGGTGGGATCGGTGTTTGGGTGGTTGACTTTAGGATCACCGTTCAAACAAAGAGGAGCAGCAGGGTAAGGGGGAGGGAAGGGAAGGCGAGCCAAAACGAAGGAAGCACACTGTTTCCACACAGCAGCCAACAGGGGCCAAAGGTGGCCCCTCTGATTCCCATCCGCTCCCATCAAGCTACCGTCTTTTAGGTTGTCTGCAGTTTTCTTTTTTAAAAACAAGAGGAAACGTTAAAAGAAGGGATTCTCCAATGTTTTTCTGGAATGAAATGTTCATTGTGTTCTGCTCTTCATTGCAGACAGTAATGTGACACAGATGAGGCCTTCAGGTGCTCTCATGGCCCTCTGTGGAGCTTTATGTCCCCGTTAGGCTGGGTTTTATAGTCCGATTGTTCGCAGGTTGCAGTAAAATGCTGTAAAAAAAATAAAAAAGTTGAATCAGAAACAAACTTGGTCACATTCAGCTTTGTTTGAACTCCTGGAGTTTAAAGTTTTTTATTAGGATTTTATGGGACAGATCAATATTTCCTATTGTGGCTTTTTAGGGCCGTCAAACCTTCACATCTGTCTCAAAGTGAACACATTTGGCCTCTCTCTCTTTTTGTTTTTAAAATATTAGACTAAAATAATCTCTGACAT